AAATTAACTAGCACGGTTCAGGGTTTAGGGTTTTAAGTTTTAACTCGTAGAATCTAAGATTCCGAGTTGAGGGACAGGAGGGCTTACCCATAGGCCCCATAGTAGTTCCTTTTTGGGATTACCTAATGGGATCCTAAATATAAGCTAAGCCGCAAAAAGGAACTACTATGGGGCCTATGGGTAGATCTGAGTTGTCTTTGTTGTTTTTTGGGACTCCTTTTATTGGGTTTAGGGATTATAGGGCTTCTTCCGAAAAACTGCAGACAAAAAGCACCACCCAACCATTTTCAACTTCGGCGGACATAATCCGATCCCTGCTGTATCTTCGAAAGGCCTGATGCGGATGCTTGCTCGAAGCTACCGTGCTGCGACGGTCCTTTCAACTTTGGCTGGCGCGGCTTGCGGCACCCGAAATCTGAAACAACCCAGCCCCCAAGAGTTCCCCAAAGATGAGCCATGGGGTCGACGCTCTCTTCCTGGAGCTTCCGCCAGCAATCACCACTCCGAAAGCCTCCCCTGAGACACGAAGGGGAGCCCCGGGGAGCTTGAACCTCAAACGAAGATACCTGGAAGAAGGCTTTTCGCTCTCTGCATCCCAGGAGCCGTGGGCTCGAGTCAGTGAAAGCCGGCCACGGATCCCCTGCGTACCCGGCTTATATAGGCGACTGAATAATTCAAACAGGGTTTTGGGGTGTATTATACTATAAATACAATAAAGAACCCCAAGAATAGCGTTGGTAATCATCAAGGCCCCTCTATGAGTGGTCATGATTCTACGCCGGAAGGATAGAAGACTGCCAGAAGACTGGCGCAGAGAACACATGCATCCTTGTGTCGAGCCTTTGCGAGCTTTTGCAAGGGAAGGCGTACTTCTTTGGCATAAAGTATGTTGGCGTAGGTATGGCAAAGCTGTTGAATTGAGACTGTCTGCTCTGCGCTGTCTGCCAAAAATCAAACTGCCCCAATCCTGGAACATAGCAAATGTGTGTACCCATGTGCAGATAAGCTACATAACTTGACTTTTCGTTACAACATTACAACATACATGAATGCATACAATACAAACGACATGCGCATGCATGGCATGGACAGACAGACACAGACAGGCAGACATGCACACGCAGGCAGAGGCGCGCACTGGGGTACTTAGCAAAGAACGTTTGTACGTAAGTGCCTGTCGCAGACATATTCGTCGCACACAATGTGGCCCTGTCCCTGGACGATCCTCGCGGCTGAAGCTGCGCAGCTCTCCCGGCGCCAGCGAGCCTGCCCACAAAGGCATCTCATCTGTTTCATATGCGAGGGATACGTGCACTGATCCCAAGCAACATCCAAACAACCCAGCCAGCTGCCTGTTTTACTGCCAAAGAGACGGTCTACAGTCGAAAGCTTAAATGTGCACACCGCACCAATCGCTCCTTCTTGCAGACACTCCTCCCTTCGAGCCTGGCAGAATCGGTTCCTCAGACGCCCCGGCCGCCAAAGCCACGAGAGCTGTGCCAGCAGTCGCCTCTGCTTCGATGCGTGGGAGCTCAGGCCACACTCGGAAACTCTTGGCACAGATCCGACGGAAGAGCTCGGATTCAAATTCAGACTGCCTGAACAGCCTCTGCACCACCGAATGCGGCCTTCCAAAGTCCCGAACTTTTCAGTGAAGCTAGACAGTCTTGTAACCGGCCTGACATCCCCTAAGGCCCTAGACCTCTGAAGAAGGAACCTCACCTGGAGTTCCACGATGCTCCACGCCGTCTCGGCCAGACACATTTACTATAATGTTGGCCGTTACTACTACCGACGCTCTTCTAACCCTTCAACCAGTATATAGATGAACTGCCACCCGTCATTCTAATCCTGCACATATGTCATGGCTGCAACTTTCTGCGGTCTATGTCAGCTCTACCACACCCATCTTTGGAGCTGGATTTAGCCAACCGCGATTCCACCCAGTTGCTTGGTACTCTGCCCATGGTACACAGGCAACCTCACCCGCTTGGATGTGGAGCCGATCCTGGTCAAGCGCAGCATAGCCAACAAAAAATACCTATGTAGATGCCCAAGATACCCTAAGAGGAGCGAAAGAGCACCTAGAACCTAGCAGCCGAAGCCCAGCATACCCAAAAACCATGCCAGCACCACCTTTGAAGATCCCAACATCCCCCCAAGAGGTCCAAACGCGCACCACACTGGTGGGGGGGGGGGGGGGGGGGCACGTTTTGGCACTCTGGCGGGAAGACAATGCACATCCAAACATACGTGCGGCACTGCGGCGGGAGCTTCGATTTTTTGGAGAGCTCCCACACCCCGTAGAATAGCAGGAGTTCGATGCCACATCGGAAAAGTCCTAGCTCGACCGAGGACTTTAGGGCTCGAGGGCCTTCGAGCCACCTATGACACACATTGACATGCGCACGGACTGCAGCAGGAGCGGGACCATCACGTTGGACAGCGCCAAGGAGTTGGAACTTACGCTGAGACATGCCCAGAGGACGCGGCGCAACTGTGTGAAAAATGTGACTCCTATCGAAACTGTCCATGACGCCACAGCATGAGCCACGGATAGCCGCGGGACACTCGTGCGCGCAAGCCACGCATGCCGGGCGCTCGCAGCAACTAGAATTACACTGAATGTTACCAAACTCTGACGGAAAAACACGAATATCTCGAGACACCTGATCGTATAAAGCATTTGATGAGATGGAAGCCTTCTTGTCTTAGAAAAGTCCTAAATAGTACTGAAATTGTGCCCAAACTAGTGCTCTCATCGTGCTAGAAATAGTCCTCTAATACAAGATACGGGTACATAAATGCAAAATAATGCAGAATCGTGGCAACTGTAGTCATACGGTAGGAAACCTACAGGTGCGTGCCCTCGATCCTATGCACGAGCGGGGATACTCGGCTGCTGGGCTCGATCGTTCCCACATCTCAGGTCTCATTCAAAAAACCACATAACACATAGGACATAGGAATGCACATGGAAATAACCAAAAATAATCCGCCATCAAATGCGCGTTTTCTCACGTGTACGGTCTACTTCCCGTACACACGTTGGCTTAACTTTTACCTGGACTATATGCTCTCAAGATTGGCTGCCTCCGGGGTGAAACCCGCTCCGCGCAGGGACAGCAGGAAGTGGCCACCACGGTACACGACGGAGCTCGTGCCACTGCCTTGTGGGTCTCACGATGCGCTACGATGAGCGTTCAGAGGCCTGAAATCGGCCAAGCCTCGAGCGACAGTCTAAAAACAAGGACGGTTTCCCCGGGTGATGTATACGCTGAGAGACAGATAGTAACAAACAAATGGCTTCATGCTAACATAGTTGAGGGCAGCACTACACTTTCTTCTGTGCCCCTCATGACGTGACCTAGAGTCCAAATGCAGTTTTGCGCACGCTCCGCTGCAAGAGAAACCGGCACCACCACAGCAACAGCGACCACAGCACAACCACAACTGCGCCAATCAAAATGAACCCTGCATGAACCCAAAAATTGGAACTCAATCCGAAGCGTTCTGAAGTCCTACACCCTAAACCACCAACCTGAAACATCGTAAGTAAACTGAAATCCCAAGGCGCTTCCGGCCGTCAGCGTCGCGACGCCTGCTGCCAGCTGCCAGCCCAACAGCTGCCAGGAATCGTCCTGCGAGGGCTCTGTTTTTTGTGGGATTTAATAAGGTTCAGGGTTTCGGCGTGGAATCTTGGCTAGAACACCGCTATGGCTGTGGCGCTTCCTGCGGGCACTGTTGCCCTTTTGCCATCTCGGCGAATGCGCAGCTCAGGTTCACTGAGTTCAGTGACTTTGAAATGGGCAGACGTGCAACAGCAAGGCAACGGCCAAGTATGCCAACTAAGTGGGGGAATGTGTGGCTCAGCGACTTAGCCGCCGCCATGTGCTGCTAGGCGACGGGCACAGCGCTGCAATGTTCTGCAACGCTTGGCCGCAACCTCGTCGAAAAAGGACATCATGGCCACGCTTTGGCCCCAGCCCCTCTCATTGAGGAAGTCATCATCGAGGCAGTCCAAGTTTATGATCTGGTCGATCACTCCCAAACGGGGAGCTTCCGCTTTCACCTGCGCGGAAGCGTGTCAAGATTCTTTGGGAGCTGACGGGGACACAAGTAGGGACACAACTGGGACACAAGTATCTGAACAAATCCAGCATTCCAGCGCAGTTTTGCCAGAGCAGGCCGGAAGTATATACATCGGGAAAGTCTTCGGGTAGTTTTCAAGAAATGCAGCGCTTAAACACAACCGGATAGGTTTGCAGCAAACAATTCCATGCTCAGAAACATTGCATTGGAGCCCGGATGAGACCGCTGAAACATACACGCGACCGCGATCAATTATGTGCTCTTGCGGGCTTCGGCTGTGTGTTGTTAGCCCTTCCCTGGCCTGGACCGTGTCACTGGAATCTCCGGGTCCCACCAGCATGGCGACTTGGAGGGGCGCACCCTTACTGGCACCGGGGCGCCAGGCCACGAACGCGCTGGTCGTAACCTGTTCTCTGGTCTCCTCGTCCTCCTCCAGCAGTGCCTTGAGTTCGGTTCCGGTGATTATGAGCATGTGGGCCATCTCCTGGCCTGACATCCATTGGATGTCTTTGCCCACATCCACCCTCGGAAGGAGCTCCGAGAAGGCCGGCATTACCATGGCTGGTGGTGGTGGTGCTGGTGCTGCAGCCGCAGCACGTCTGGCCCGGCAGACCTTCTCATGGCGACCAAGCGTGAAGCCGAAGCCTCTGACACCAAGGAGGCCAACGTTCTGGCCACAGTGCCTGCACGCCGCCCTTGCGCAGGGCTTCATGTCAGACAAAATCCAATCGAATTCTCTTGACTTGCTGCTTGGGCCGGGGCTCTGACCAAGCGGACCTAGACTGGTACATATGCTCGGGCGCGTCAGACGATCCAGAAGCATGAACATGCATGAACCCTGAACCCATACCGCGAAGCCCAGAGCTATGTTCCGTGGTCAGACAATAGCAAAAGAATGCAGGTTCCTCGCAACCGGCTGTTGCATTCGCCACTTGGCAGTAGCAAGCTGCATACCAACCTGTGGCGGAAAAGCAAATGCGTACTCCTCCGAATTTATATATGTCTGGACAAACGTAGTCCGTCAAGGCAAACAGAAAAGCTTGTGGGGCTTGGGGTCGCAGCTGCACCACCGTCGGGCAGCTGATCTACCAGAACGCCCCAAAGAGCCCAAAGCCCGCAAATTCCCTTCGGCCTGGCAGCGAGATCTCAAGGCGCTGCCAAGCCAACACCTCCTCTGCCACCTGAGTCGTAGCGGAAACGAAATCAGGGAAGGAACACGTCTATGGTCCAGCTGCTCGTAACCGACCAGTTACAGTGGCTTGATACTGCCACTGCCGTCTCGAGTATCTAACAACTAATAACAGTGAACCTAGACGAAACTCTCGGACTCAGGTCCCTTTTCAACATCCATTTCACTTGAAAGATTCTGTTGGCTCATCACAGCGATCCTATGGCGACATCAGTTCCAGACGGTGAGCACAACCTGTCCCTCAATCAAGTTCCTAACGTAGGGGCCTTAATAACGAGAATAAAGTTTCGGAAAATATTACAGCATACATAGCATAGGGGACCCTACAGGCAACAATCTATTCATTTCTTCAGGCTTCTGCACTACGATATAAACAAGAAGCCCGCCTGGTCCGCCGAAGGACAGCCCTCCGCGGAGCAGCGGAGGCTCACCCGCTCGGGCTCGGGCAGCGCAGAAGCGCAGCTGGACTCCTGGACAGTTTCTCAGCATCTCTTCCAGTTTGTGGTTTTTCGGGAAGGGCCTAACACATACTCTACGTAGACTCTGGGATGCAGAACTTTAGCAGGACCTTAGTTGTGGGTGTAGGGGTCGAAGTCAGCTTTACTTTCGGTACAGCATCATTCGAGCATGTGGTGTAATTGGGGACGAATCACGCCGACGTTGATTGCCATACGTACTCTGACCACAGCCGGTTCGAGTGGCTCTTGCGCTTTTTGATGCACTGTTTTGATGATAGTGATGATAGTGCCTGTTCTTTGCTCCGCTCCTGCAGAGTCCCGGCATCGTCCGCAATGAGTTTGAGGATGTGTTGGGCTGCAGTATCAAAGCGACCTGGAAACATCGCTGCAGTGATCATAAGTCTGCTGAAAGCACGGTGCTTCTGGTATATGATGAGGAGAAAAGAGACCATGCAGAAGCTTTGGAAGCTTCTTCTTCAATATCGCAGCACCTCAATTCTCAGTTCCCCCTAAACCCTAAACCCTAAACCCTAAACCCCCTGGTGATGTCAGACGGCCTCCAGGAGCTTCCAGCCGCAGGTCCTGGATTTGTCTGATTCCGGCCATGGAAAACCGATGTAGATGCGGTCCTGCATACCCTCACATGTATGCAAACACGTGAGGAACCTAATAATCTTCGTGATTAGTAGAGGGTTTCGGTGCATATGGGGAAGGGGGTGGGGGGGTATTGCTGAGTATTCCGACCCCGAAACGGCTCCAGCAAAGCCCCAACGGGCCTGGACCTCTCCTACAAGACGCTGCAAGGGCAGCAATAGCAGCGGCTCTGCCGTAAGGGAACCGACGCCTCGAGGACCGGCAACATGCCAAGAACTGTTAACAACAGCAAGCGGGTTGGCAGTACAAAGCTTGAGCGACTCGAATTGAAAACACCTCGCGATCGCCACTATGACAGCACCAAAGCAACCCGGCCTAACAAAGCGGACAAGCTATCATGGAATCCTAGGGTGAACCGGTAGCGTGTCACGGAACTACCATGCACTGCCATACCGTGCTGACACGTTCTGGCATAAGAAACAGTCTGAGCTCTGTTGAGCAAGACTTCGAATGCATGGTTGAGTTGATCCAGACTGTCCAGACTTGCGTAGGCATTTTCGTAAGCGTGCTTCTTGATATCGAAGCGGAACAGAGTCTTTGCACACGAACTAGTCATGGCTGCCTCAAGAATCAAACGGCTTGCTTCATGTTAGTGTTCGAGGATCTTGATCCGATGCAAGGGAAGGATACTGGTGTACTGCAAGCTGGTGTACTGCTGTTGGCACGCTACATGATGTCACAGTACATCCCCTATGCTGCCCAGCAGCGAAGCCAATTTGCACCGCTGTTGCATCCGCTTTCGCCGAGGCCATCCTCGTGTCTTAGGCACATGCACTTTTAAGCGACGCTATAGAGCTAACGGCGGCTGCGGGGTCCGGCGCCAGCTTAACATAGCAAGCCAGGGCACGCAGAAGCACACGCCCAGCGCCGTGGGCAAAGACGCCCGACCCCGGCGTCTAGGCCGGAGCTCCAAAGCCCAGCGCCAGCCTCGTCGCCGCAGCAGAAAAGAAAGCAAGAAGAGGTTCAGGCTGTCTGCCTTCCTGGCCTCTCAAGCCTCGCATCCCTCACAAGATCCCTAACCATCCCTAACCCTTCGCCCGCATTTCTGCCTGCCGTCGTGGCCACCACTGGCTCCAGCTGACAGCTGAAGGGGGCGACACCTCATGGAAACATGACTTCTACCTCACACCTGGTGGACCAAACCCCCAGGCCCCAAGCTTGACATCGACTTCGCCGACACCGACACTGCGAGGCTCCTGCCGCTCGTCAACCCACCAGGGCCGCAGTTTGCTGGGACCTGCGGCAACTGCGGAAGCGGAATTTCGGCCGGGGGGGGGGGGGGGGCATTGCTTGGGTGACACATGGTTTTCAGGATCACAGGATTCGGGCTGATTGGTTTAGGGCAGCAAGCCTGCAGCGACGTCTCGGCTCCAAAGCGACAACGATCGGATGGCCCCGCGTCGCCGAAGCTGCCGTCCTCACTCATAGGCTGAGCTCTGGGTTTAAAACTATATCAATTACGATTTGGGGTTGTATGCGCTGACCTCCCGGTCATTTTAGCTGTCAGCCCTAAGTGTCCTGACATGACATGATCAGTCCCACTATCTGCCTGACCTGACATCTCAAGTCCGGCAAGTGCACCAAAACCCGTAGCACGCCCTGTTACAGGCGAACCACCTAAGCCCCACAAGTCCTCAAGAATCGTCAGGAAATTTCGCCGAAACAGCTCCGGTCCTCCCCTGCTTCGATAAGTCGGACCCGGGCCGTGGGCAATCCCGAGCAGCCTGCGGAACCTTGGAGGACTTTCATAAGGTGACGGCTCAGGGCTTTAAGTCTTCAGGGTTTAGGGTTGCTACAAGAATTTAGGAGGCTTTACGGTTCTAGAGTTTCAACTCTTAGTTAGGGCTTTGGGCTTCAGGCTGCAAGCGTGTCCACTGGGGTTTGACAAGGTTGAGACTTGAGCTTAGACTCCATGTATGTAATGTGATGCAAGGTGATATAATGTAGGTATGTATGTATGTGTGTATTTCTCGTAGGCATAACTATAGCAGATATTGCATCTTCATGCAATCAACATCACTGCGCATCGTAGACCAGGCCAGCAGACGTAGCCGCTTCTCGAATCTTGTTCCTAACTTTATCTGGGCTCCTGGCTGCTGACATTGCAGCGGATGTCCAAAGTGAAGGGCTGTCCAGTAAAAACGCGATCTGCGCAGATCAGTCAAAGGAGGGCATGGCATAATCTTGCGAGTTGAAAACTGCAAACTGGCATCTTCGTTATGGCTTCGGGAGGTTACACGAAGACTGTCGAAGCGCAGAGGCTCAGGGACGAGGCGACCTGGTTGTGAAACCACCCGCAGCAGCTGAAGGGTACCAAGGGCTTGTGGAAAATCCTGGCGCAAGACAGCCGCAGCTTCTCTGCTATGAGCAGTTCGACGACTCACTTCAACTCTGCCAGCGCTCGATTGCATCAGTCAGAAGGCCTCCGGGCATGCAGGAGCAACCCTTATCTATATCATCATCAAGCGCCCTGCAAAAGAGTCGGAAACTGAAGCTTGAATAAGCAGGCTTCCTGGAGGCTACCAATTCCGAAACGACAAGCAACAAAGAAAAAGGTAGTGTAGGTGCCCAGGAAATCTTGCATTTGGGCAGCAAGGTGGGAGAGTCTTGTTGCCAGGCGTACTCTCCTTGATGCTGGCTCTCTTTGCCCAGTGCCATGAGCAATATCACCCCAAGAAGAAGTACTCCATTCCTACTGTCACTGTCACCATCACTGCTGCCATAAGCGTAAAGGTGACCAAAAGGACACGACTGCGTCCCCGAACTAGGCTCCTCAACCCCGCTGCTGCGGCAGTGTCCCGAGCCATCGCTCGAGACGTCCAACCTCAGAGCTTCGGCGCAGACAACAACAACTGCAACAACTACAACGAGTACTGCCTCGTCGTACAACTAGAACGGGTAGTGCGACTTGTACGACAAGTCCGGCTAGCACTGCTAGTATTACTGGTACTACCTACTGCTGCTGCTGCTGCTACTACTACTACTGCTGCTGCTGCTACTACTACTACTACTACCACCACCATAGTAAGTCTTCTACTATAACAACAACAACAACAACAACAACAACAACAACAACAAC